AAGGTCCCTCTGAAAGACGGGGGCAATGATAGACGCATGGCCCATACAAATATCACGTAACCTGAACCTTCGGCGTATGGTTGGAAGATCTACATTAGCAGATAGTTGTTTAGTCAGTTCTTTTTGTTGCATAAGAGTCGGTCAAAGAAGTTAGCTTGCTAGCCCATTGCCATAGGAATCGGTCAGTCTATTAAGAGAGTTAGTTTGTTAGTCTGCTGCACAAGAATAGGTCAATTTGTTAAAGATGTTAGCTTGTTAGACTATGGCATAGGAATCTGTCAGTTAGTTAGAAAGGATAATCCCATAATTAGGGGGCTAGTTTAGTTGTTGATTGTTAGCTAGTCTTAAGCATGTGTTAGCTGGTCTTAAGCATAAGAATGAGTCAAATAAGTTATTTGTTATTTCTGTTAAGTTGTTAGTATGAGAAGGCATAGGGATCGACCATGTAGTTAGAAGGCTAATCCCTTACTTTGAGGATATCTCAGTGGTATAAAGTTAAGAAGTTTTTGTATTTAAACACCACCCCACCACATGGATGGGGCAATTGAAAGTTAATAAACTCTTGTGCTCTTATTCTCACCCTAAGCAGAATACTCTATCTCTCTCATAGGTCCTAGTCAAAGCTAGAGAGAGATAGAGTATTCTACTTAGGGTGAGAATAAGACCACAAGAGTATTAACTTTCAGCTGCCCCATCCATGTGGTGGGGTGGTGTTTAAATACAAAAACTTCTTAACTTCCTACTACTGAGATATCCTCAAAGTAAGGGATTAGCCTTCTAACTACATGGTCGATCCCTATGCCTTCTCATACTAACAACTTAACAGAAATAACAAATAACTTATTTGACTCATTCTTATGCTTAAGACCAGCTAACACATGCTTAAGACTAGCTAACAATCAACAACTAAACTACTAGCCCCTAATTATGGGAGTATCCTTTCTAACTAACTAACCGATTCCTATGCCATAGTCTAACAAGCTAACCTCTTTAACAAATTGACCTATTCTTGTGCAGCAGACTAACAAACTAACTCTCTTAACAGACTGACTGATTCCTATGGCAATGGGCTAGCAAGCTAACTTCTTTGACCGACTCTTATGCAACAAAAAGAACTGACTAAACAACTATCTGTTGATGTAGATCTTCCAACCATACGTCAAAGGTTCAGGTTACGTGATATTTGTATGGGCCATGTGTCTATCAGAGGTGACTTCATCCTAATGATTGATTGGGGCGACCCATTTGAAGAAATCACATGGTTTCACATTTGGTTGTTTTCACTACATACAATTACCAACAATTTGCAATCATCCCAACTAAGAGAAGGCACATTGCACTCACAACTTTTCATGGGCAGGCATAAAAGAACTTCTGAGGGTTGGAGGCTGTCTCGGACACCCTAATGACACATTTTTTCCCATAGTCGCAGACCTTTGTTTCAAACTTAAGATTGTTTGGTGGCTCAAGTGTGAATGTTGAGTGCTTAGACATTTTTGTAACATAAAATGAAGAAATTACAATAAAGATATTGGAAAATGAATAGATGCATCCATAAATAAATTAGAAGCTTAATACAAACTTCCATATACTAATGTCCAGTGCTAAGACATTTTATGCAACTATTGGAGAATGAATAGGCTGTCTCAAACATTATCTTTTAATGTCCAGTGCTTAGGCATTTCTTGCATCTATAGTTTGCAGGCCGATGAAAATGAATAAATGAATCCACATGTACATATTAGACACCAAAACCAAGAACACTAAAAAAAATCCCTAACATAAACCCTACTAAACATGAACTTATGAGAAGATGGAGGCGCACTGAAATAGTAGGAGATGTTGATACAGTTGCTCCCTTGCCTAGGTTACTTTACTACTCGAGCTCCAGCGTGTGAAGAAGTTCCCTTATGCATCAGGAGAAACAGAACCACTGCGGTAGAAACTAAAATGGGCCTTCAACCATAAGGTAAATAATGGAAATAAGGGTAAAATTGTCCAAAAAATGGAAGGGCAGTTTTGGGTTTTACTTTTGCATTAACAACGGAAATAGAATTTTCCGTTAAGATAACGGATGGAGCACTGATGGAGGGGGGTCTTTAATGAAAAAAAAAGTGTTGGGGGTCTTTGTCACAAATCCCATAGTACAAGGGGGTCCTTGAAGGATAAAGAACTATAATGTTAGATGATACCGTAAGTGGGGTGGTAGGCTAGGAGGGGATGGTCTCCTTGAAGGACGAAGAACTATTAGGATCAGGGTGGCAAAGTAGGGATGGCAATTTTCCCTATTCCCGATGGGGATCTGACTTCCCTGACCCCATGGGGATTGTTTTGGTAGGGTAGGGACAACGGAGGGGATTAAATGTTTTTTATATTATATATTATTTCTATATATCAAAACATATTTAAAGCGTTATTTATAATTAAAATTTTTTATTTATTTTTCAAACAAAATGTTGTTATCTAAAAAGATTTTGGGGATTCGGGTCCCACGAGGAACCCATCCCCGTTAGGGATCAGGGCTGGAGGACAAATTTTATCCTTGACAGGGATTGAGGACGGGTGTGGGGGTTAAATTCAGAGTCGGGGTCGGGGACGGGGAATATGATCCTTGCCCCGTTGCCATTCCTATTGCAAAGGGAGATAATGAATACACTTTGACTGCTCAGGAGTTTTAGGAGATTGGGGTAGCAATGGAAATAATGAGTGTCATGGTTGTACTTTATTCCTCCTTTTATAAGGAGGATCCTAAGACTTTTAGGGGAAGGATCCCCAAAAGGGTTTGATTTTTATTAGGAAAGGGAATCCTCGTCTTTATGTTGGTTATCAAGGGAATGCCATTAGGGTTTTATATAATCAAGGTCGAGGTGGGGCGGGAACTGATCCCCATCCCAACCCCGTCCCTGCCCCTGCCCTACCAAAATAATCCCCATTCTCAGCCTCATCAGGTCGGGAAGTCGGGTCGCCGTCAGGGATGGGGAAAATTACCATCCCTAAAAGTGTGTTCTATTAAATGACCCTAATAGAAACACATAAGAGTATACTATTGTGTTATATTTTCAACTTTTAAATAATTAATAATTATTCATATTTTATATACTACTTTTAATAAAATTTTTATAATACAATAATTAACTTCAGTTAGGTTTATTAATCAAACTAATGAAACCAACCAACCTGATTAACTCAACCTAAGTTGGTCAGTTTTCTAGTATTTTAGGTTGGCTTTGGTTCAAAAATTTCCCAATTCGACCAAGTTGTATTAGTTTCACTTTGGTCATTTGTAAATTGACCAAAATTGAACGACCTAACCATGGATATATATTAATATTTTATGTTTTAAATATAATTTTTAATATGGAAAGTGGGAATTTTTCCATATTTCTTAGTCTAATATGTTTTTATATCGTAAATCTAATTTTTAAATCTATTATTTAACAATTACACTATAATTTTAAAATTAAATTAAATTTATAAGTTTAAATCTTTTGAACATATTGACGAAACCAAAATATTGACCCAAACCAATACAACTTGAGTGGGTCGGTTTTCACATAAGGTTAGTCAGTTTCAGTTGATCAACTCCCTAACCTGACTAGGTCAATTTGGTTGGCCAAATAACCTACGACCAAACTGAACCAACTCATGAACACTCATAATTATAGCTAAATTAATAGTCTTATCTCTAATAAATAACAATAGTTTAATCTCCAATAATTATTGAAAATTTATAGCAAAAATACTCAATTATTGAAAATATATTGATAATAACATATATAATAATTACAGAAATTACAAAAAATACAATAAGTACTAAAAATATATTAACTTAGTCAATAAATAGTACAATCTCTACTACATATTAATCAATAACTTATAACAAAAATACCATAAATACAATAAGTACAATAAATTACATTTAAAAATTTCAATTGTAGTAATTTAATCTCCAATAATTATTAAAAATTTTCTATAAAATAACAAAACAAAATAAATTTATACATGATCATTAAAAATACATTTATTGCAAAAGACAATAAATATTAATTTTAGTATATATAATTATATAATAAATACAAATTGAGAGTTTAAAATTATTATTAATAAATATTATTTTTGAAAGTTATTTTCTCAAATTATTACTTGATATAAGTGAAATTAATTATTTACAATATTATGTAAAAATATTAAATTATTATTAATTTMAATATTATGTTATAATTATTTTTCTACTTTGAATAATTTTTTTAAATTTATTACATAATTTTTTTATTTTAAATTTAAAATCTAGTTATGATAAATATTTAGTTATTTAAATATTTAAAATTTTTTGTTATTTGAATTTTGTTTATTTAAAACTATTACATATTATTAAATATTTGAAAAACATTTAAATTGATAATCCAGAAAAATATAATTTAAATTTTTAGTACATAATTTTGTAATATATTTTGTAAAAAATAAAATTGTTTTTTTTGTGTTTTTAATAAATATTTTAAAGTTATTTTATAATTTTGTTAGAATATTTGAATAATTCTTAAATTTTTTAATCCAAACTTTCTTTAGATAGATATAGATAAAAAGTAGGGGAGAGGATAAATGGGAATTAGAGATAATTTTAGAAATAAATAAGAATTAGAGATAATTTAGAAGATAAATAGGAATTAGAGATAATTTTAAAGAAAGTGAGGGATAGTAGGGAAGGTAGTTTAGGGGAAATTTTAGGAGAAGAGATTATTTAAGTGTATCTATTAGTTGTTTCAAAAATGACATAAAATTAAAAAATAAAAAAATTCAAAAAAAAAGAAAAATAGATAAATAAATTCTCTCAAAGAGAGACATACTAATATGGACAAGACCAATTTTAATATATATATATATATTTATATATTCAAAAACCGAACGTAAACTTTTTTCAATTATTTCGATTTTCTTTTAATTCGGTTTCGTTTCGTATTTTTAATTTCGGTTTAACTGAACCGAAATAAAGGGAATTGCTCACCTTGTTACGTATTTTTAATTTAGGGCGGGAAATGAGATCATAATCAAAATCAGAGCTAAAACTGTTATGAACTGAAAAATTAGGGTTACGATCCTTCCTTGTGCACGTCCAAGCAATGGAGGTAGAGAGTGAAAGAGGGTTGAGCGACAAACCAAAGAACGGAATCCTAGGAAGCATTGATCTTCGCTCTTCCGAGTCAGTGGTGGATCTGACTGGTCAGGTTCATCAGCTTCCCTGCTGCATCAAACATGACGGCCCCTGCCCTGTTTCTCAGTACTTCAAACCCCATAAAACAGGCAAGTTTCAGCTTCCTTGTTTTCTTCTTCCCTCAACCTCATCAATTTTTGGGTTTTCTCAGCTTCCGATAATTCGCCAGGCCTCATCATTTAATTTTATTTTGCTGGTTAGGTGTTGAGGTCGAAGGTTTAGCTGTGGAGGAAGCCTGTTTCAGAGGAAGGAAGTTGCAGGGTGCTACGATTCCCCTCCCAGAAGGCTACTGTGGTATGTAATTCGTCACTCTTTTCTTTTTCTTTTTCTTTTTCTTTTTCTTTTGTTTTCTTCTCTTTTTCATTTCTTATTTACACTTTTTGAATCTAGTTGGTTTTAGGACCAATAAAAAATCCAGTTAAAAAAATAAAAATAAAAAAATCCAGTTGGTTTTGGCAATGCAAAATTACTACTAGAAGATAGATTGTAAAAGCTGTTGCATAGATTCATCAATCATTGGTTTTTCTTTTGCTATTTATAGTTTTTCTGTTTATCTTTTAGGTACACATTGTGTCTGTTAAATTCATCGAGAAAGTCAGAGATTATCTTCATTAGACTCCGCTTGATTTTAATCTGTTGCTCAAACCTAGTAAAGTTTAATGCTAAGGCTACCTTTTTCGTTATGGTTGATACATGTTTCTAGTTGATAGAAACACGTGAATTACTTATGAGGCATTTGGGGTCGGGGATCATGTTGAGACCAATGAATTCCCCCATTGGTACACCCATATGACTTTTCTGTACCAATTATTCATAGACAGAAAATAAACAACTTAAATTTAGAGTTGATGCACTTATTGGCCACTAGAACACCATCCAAAAGTTTTGTCACCCTTAGCCTAAGTGCTTTGGAAAGTCAAGACAAAGAGGTTGGCCACTTCCTTTTGTAGAGTAGTGAAATTTTATCTAGAATGCACTGTAACCGAAACTAAAAAGTTACTAAATGTATGTGTGCCTCCAACCTTTCTGAGACATTACAAGAATGATTGATAATTTGGAAATCTGGACTAAGTAGGCCTTTCTATCAGATTCTCCTGTACACCATAGATATATCCTTACCAGTATTCAAGCAATTGTCATAAAAATCAATGGAAAATGCATCCACTATAGGCTCCCAATCCTAACAACTCATCCTCAATATCTCTTGGGAAAACTCCCTTCCCAACTCCTTCATACATGCATTTAAATGGTATAATAAGATAACTTATAACTGTATCATATGCAGAACAAGAAGATTCAAGGCTAATATGTATCACTGCCTTTGTAGATGTTTTCCACATCCTCAATCTTCATGCTGCTTGTGTAACAGTGTAGTGGAAAAGTACTGTTCCTCTTTCTATAATGAACCATTGATATGGGTATCATGATGGTCCTGTAATCAGCTTAGAAGTATTTTGGATCTTTTGTAGTATTTTTCTGGTTCTGGGCTTGATTTAGTAACTTTGTTTATCATAAATGGTCCATCCTTAAAGTCATGTTAATCTAGTTTTATTTGAGTTGTGTTTAAGGTTTCAGAACATGGCTTGTTTTATTTGTCTGACGTGTTATTAGGGCTGTTCATAAGAATGCCCAACCCGACCAAACCGACCAAACCGACCAACCAGGACCGACCCAACCCGAGTCAGCCGGGTTTTCATCCGTACCGGTCGGTTTTGGGTTGGGCACATACATAAACCGAAATCTCGGGTCAGTTTCGGTTTTCTTGCGTGAAAACCGAAACCAACCCGACCCGACCCGAACTAGTATTCTACTAGTTTGGTAGTTCCTACTTCCTAGTTTGAGCAGTTTCCTAATTCCTAATAGTCTTCTATTTTTAGACTTCTATTAGAACTAGAACTCTAGAAGGCCCATTAGGCAATTACAATTAGAATTCAATTAGGTATCCTTTTTTAGTTTTTTACCTAGATTAGAATTTAGAAGGTTTCTAAATTTTTATTTTATTGATTTACCTTCCTAGATTTACCTAGTTTTTTACTCTAGAAGGCCCATTATTGACACTTGTTTTTACATGAAGAATTTATTGATTTTATTCTTTACCTGAATTAAATTTAGATTTATGTTGGACTCTTGAATATCAAATTATCAACTAATTCAGATTTTATTTGGCTTTGTACAGGAGCAAAACCGAAACCGACCCAACCCGACTCAAACCGACCAAGTTGGTTTGGCCTGTCAGTGGGTCGGTTTTGGTTCCCACCTTAGCTAACCCGACCAGGTCGGGTCAGTTGGGAAAATCCCAAGAAACCGACCCAACCCGACCTGTGAACACCCCTACGTGTTATTACCTGCATATGAGAACTTACTTGTAGAATTTTTTTTCCTTGTCTGTGCTGCTATATGACCTATAATTTCATCAGAATCCTTAATGTATTTATGGGAACTTATGCTGATCTGATTTATTTTTTCTTCCTATTTGCTTCTCGCTTCTAGGCTATGTTTTAGGAAAGAAGAAGAATCCAGAGAAGAGCAATACTTCCGAAGCCCATGAAGGGAACTGTTGGAAGGTGGCTGCAAAGTTTCAAAACATCAAATATTGGAATCATGACAGTCTTCCTTCAGGCAATGATGCTTTTATGCGTTGCTTTCACTGGTTTGCGGTTGCAAATGCAGTAAGTTTTGTTGCCCTTTGTACTTAACAAAAATATGTTGTCCTATGTACTTATCAAAAAACAAAATTGTTGCCCTATGTACTTATAAAAAAATTGTTGTCCTATGTCACAAAGTACAAAGTGTTTACATGTTCTGAAAATCATAATTGTATTATAAATTGTAAGAAATGCTATGTTGAATCAAATGTGAATTGTATCATAAATGGAAAATTATTTCTCTTTTTCTATATTCTTTTTTCAAAAAATTAGAATAGATAAGCTAAAAACTTAAATATAAAGAAAAGTCATCTTACCTAATGTTCTAAAAGGTGTGCCTTGTGTGCTTACATAGGCTTAGAGGTGACACTCATTTTGTGGGGTGTGCCTTGCCTTAACATAGGCGACTAGGCGTGCCTCTCCTAACTTGATGCTATGTTTTGATGAATTGACCTAATTTGATGTTTTCTGATGGACAACCTTGAATTCACAATTTGCTACATTGTAGGGTGTGCCTCTTCTACTTTAATTAGTGTCCTTTCTCTGCATGAGTGCAGTTGCACAAACCTGTGACATGTGATGATTTGGCTTCTCAATCTACTACTTCAGAGAGGATGTGATGGGTTAAGGTGAGTGTCCTATAACTCATGTTACAGTCTCATTGCAAACACTACTACACTTTTGAACTTTTTTTTTTGAAGAGTAAAATATAAAATTTTATTAATAAGAAAAAACAGATACAAGCTGTTCAGGTATCAAGATGACACCTAACTCAAAGCAAAACATGCATCAAGAGCTTCAGTTCAGACTTAACAGATTCATATTACAACTTTGAATTTCTAAGGTATCCCAAAAATTGTCAGCAAAGTCTGAAGGACTAGATTGCTCAAATTCTGGAAGACACATAACCTAGCTGGTGATGAGTTTGCCAACCAATAGATAGATAAGTCATATTGACATTTCTACTCTTAGTTTTGAGATGGGAAATGTGGTATTTTCTTATATTCAAGCTGTATGCAAGAGATTGTTTTCATGGAAATGCGGCTCCATGGTAGGGGAGCATTTTCTGAGGCATTTCTGGGGTATTATTGTCTCTTGGCTCATCTCTTTTAATTGTTTTTGGAGTCTTTTTAGGGATGCAAATGGTATTTGTTTATCCGAATTTGATTTAGTTAAGGGTGAATCAAATTTGATCTGTTTATAATTGGATTGAACATGGATCTACCCTAATCTGATCCAATTCAATTTAAATGTATATGCTTACATATACTTAAAGTTTATATTCTATCTATTAGTAAAGTTGGTTTGAATGTTGTATTTTTAGTAAAGAGTCATTGGTTCAAGTTTCATAAAATTTATTTTCAATATTTTTTGTTCATGTTAAAATTTATTTATTTTTTTGCTTGCCTCTCAAGAGCTATGAGTATTCAACTTGTTTGGGTTAGAAGATCTGCAAATTGTTTGGCTGATGGTTTAGCCAATCAAGGGGTTCAAAGACAGATTATGTATTGAGCACAACTGTAATATCTTGGGGTAGTTTTGTTTTTTTCTTTGGTTCTCTGGTTGTTTACAACTTCTTGTTGTATCTCCTTTGTGAATTAATATTTTCTGTGTTGCTGATAAAAAAATCATTTTATTAATAATATATAATATTCTGGTTATTCTTTGTTTATTTTATTAATTCTATTCAATATTTGATTGCAATCTGATTTCAATTTGTATTTGATATAAATCTGATGGATAAGATTCAATCCAAATCTGAATATAAACGAACCAAATTTAGATCTACCTTATATCCGGTTCAATTAGATCCCTTTGCAGCCTTAGGTCTTTTCCCTTCTTGCGGTTCTGATTGTTGCACAATTCTTCTTTTCCCTTGTCTTCTTTTAATAGAATTTCAAGTCATTTGTCATTATAAAAAGTCTTTATCGAATGAATGAATTTATATATATCATTGGGGAAGAATAATGTTGATGGTCTACCTTGGCTAATCTTCTGGTCTATTATTTATCAATGTTTAAGATTCCTTAGAACGTGGGCAAAGAAATTGAAAAGATAATGAGGGACTTTTTATGAGATCTGGGAAAGGTGGAAAAGATCATTTGATTAGATGGGAGTTGGTTTGCAAAAGCATATTACAGGGTGCATTGGGTCTTGGAAATATGGAGAATACATAGAATATGCCTAACATTCTCCTAATGAGGCTGGTACCCACCCCCATCCCTCACATGCAGTTCCTTATTACAATATACCCCTATACAACTTTTCCCTGTTCACTCCTTGTCTTTCCATGGCACCAGCCATCATGTTTGCTGATTTGTGTGTCCATATTAAACTTGCATTTAGTTATGAAGCTAGGGTTCTTAGCTCTTTCATTTGTTTTTGTTGCATCCATTTGACAGCACCTTTGAGGAATTTAGTGCTGTTGGGCAAGTGGTTGTGGAGATTATCGTTGGGTAAGGAAAAATTTTGGCATAAAGTGGTAGTTAGTATACATGGGAAATTGGACAATGGTTAGGATGCTGGAGTTGTTGCAAGAAGCACAAGGAGCAAGGATGTCTCCTTGGAAAGCCATTAGTGCAATCCTTCCTTTCTTCAGGTTCAGGTATGATGTTTGCTTGGGTAACTTGGTTAAATTTACATTACCTGGGTGGGTCCAAATCTTTGTTGCATCTTCATTTGCTTGGCCAAAGAAGAGAGGTAGAGTCAAGTGGAGAAGCTTAAGAGCTGTTGTAACCTAAGCACTGCGAGGAAAGGAATACAGCAATCTTTAAGGAGAAAGAGAGGTTCAAAGAAGTGGTAATTGAATGTATAACAATCAGGGCGATTCATTGGCTGAAATCCATGGAGTTGCTCTGAATACTCAGTAGATGGCATAATGAGGAAGTGGAAGGAAGTGGCTCTTACTTCAGTTTTGAAATCCAGGATTAGTACTTCTTGGACTCCACCGGAGGTTGGGTACATTAAACTCAACTTTGATGGCAGCAACAGAGGGAACCCAGGACCGTCAGGTGCTGGAGGTGTGTTTTGGAATGAAATAGTGCATGTGCTGGCTTTGTTCTCTGGTCCGATTTCATTGGGGATTCCTTGAAGGCTGAAGTGTTGGTAGCTTTGGAAGGTGTATCTACTATCTAGAGCAAAGGAGCTGATTGTGCATAAATTGATCATTGATAGAGATCCAAAACTGGTGATCAAGTGACTATTAAACAAAGGAAATGATTTATAGATATACAATAATGAGTTTAAAAAGGCTGATAACAACAATGACTTCAAAAAAGTTTAAATGGATAGTGTTGTTAGGACTGTTATTAGTGTCTTTTTCTATTAAGTTGTAATCAGAGGTACTCTTGTAATTTCTCCTCTTTATTTTAAACACCCTAATATATAAATCAGTGTGGGCGCTGCCACTGACAACTTTTGTTAAATATTCTTTACTATTCTCTCCTCTCTTCTCTCTCTCTCTCTCTTCCATTCTAGATGGTAAAGCTAAGGAACAACAACTCCCAAACACTTTCCTATGAGAGACTTTTTCACCCAAATCCCAACACAACACCCCTCGAAATATCTTACAAAAACCAACCACCCCAAAAGAATTATAAAGACAACCCAAAATTGCAATATCCGCAAGAGCATGCAAACTAAGCCCGGGAACCAAAAGCAAAACAACCACAGATACACAATCCTCACCCTTTCACCTGCATCATACCAGAAAACACTTAATTCTTCATCAACGATGCCAATCTCCTCTCCTTTGCCTTCCTCCCAGTTCCCACCCCCTCCTCAACTACAGCCTTCTTATTATTTTCCTGCCTTCTATTCTGTTCGAATTGTTCGATTGCCTTCCTCACCACTGCTTCTCCCCCCAAAAAGAAAAGACCAAGAGATTTCCCAACTGCCAACTGTCTATCTACTAGTTGATCAATGCCGACTTTTCCTCTTTCCATCATATTTATCTTAGGAGTTTCTTCAGTTTAATTCTTTCCTATTTCCTTTTACCCCTCACTAATTTCATTATTTTTCTCCTCAGCCTCCTTCCTTCTCTCTCTCTCTTCCTCCAGATTGTTCTCATAATCCTTTAACCTATACTTATCCTCCTTTTCCCCTGTTAGTGCTTCCCCTCTTTGATAATTTAAATCAGTGTTCTGAGCCTTCTTATCTGAATCCACATCTAAACCGTTTTCATCACCTTTGTTTGTCAGACAGCTCTGATTTCTAGCTGTGAGCTTACATCCTCTCCTTTTGTATTTTCTCTTGAATCTGCCACATTGACTGTCCCCGACCAGTCCTTCCTTGAGACGATGAAAAACCTTGGTAACATGAACGAGCTGCCCATTGCTGGATCCTTTCTTTTTTCTCAGCTGCCCTGCCTTGGGGTTTTCATGATTAGTCAACTTTGACACATCTTCAACTCTCTTCCTCCCCATATCCCTCCCCATATCCCTCCCCAATTTTCCAATGGAAACCAAAGAACTCAAAACTTCTTCTTCTCCCGTCCTTTTATTAATCTCATCATTCGTGACTCCCCCCAATTCCTGGACCAAATCTTTACTACTGAAGTCACAAGAGGGACCCTTACTGTTTGATGAGGTGAAACTCGCATTCTTTTTTGGGAATTCTTCCTTATCTTGATTTCCACTCATTTTAACACTTTCTACCACTCCATCATCCTCCTTTGCTCCATTTGGAACTTTTCTAATTCCTTGGCGGGAACATTTTCTTGTGCATCTCTATCTTCAGAAACCCACGGGAGTGCTTTGGAGACACACTTCTCTGCAGTTGTTTCAGCCTCCAACTGCTCGGAGATGCTCGATTCTTCTGGTCTCACGAGCTTCGTAATCACCCACTCCCAAATCTCCTTCTTCCTCTTGCCCTGGACACCAAAAGACCTCGAGGGAATTTGTTTAAATTCTATTACCGAGTGGTGACATAGTGAACAAAATTGAAGAAGTTTACAAAGATAAATTGAGGTGTTCTCATTGTGGTAGGTTTTGACATACCAAAGAGACCTGTTGGGACCTTGTTGGCAAGCCAAAGAACTTTCTGGATTTCTAGAAGAAGCAATCACAACAACCTGGGAAGAAGTCTAGTTCGGCTAATGTTGTCTTTGGTGGCTCATTTCAGGAGAGTATCTCCAAGGTTCTAAGGAGGGAATGCTGAATGCCTTACGTAATCAGCTTGAAGAGTATGGTAGAACTCTCAATCAACTTGAAGAGACCTCTATCACTCGATTCACTCCTACCTCACATGTATCCACTATCCACCTCAGGTAACCATACCTTTTCATTCCATGTGTCTACTTCATCCTCAACTCCTAGGGTCATTGGATCTGGGGCAATTAATCACATGACTGGTAAGCCAAATATAGTTTCAGCATATTCTTCCTTCCTCTTCCTTTCAAAAGCTTCAAAAGCTTTCCTAGCAAAGCTCTCCAGTCTCCCCTCCCATAAAGAATAAGCCCAGGGACTTCCAACTTCCACTTCTCTATCAACTAACCTTTTCAAATCCAAACTTCCCTTCTATTTCTCCTCCTCTGACACCACAATGGAAGAAAATTCAAAGCTTTTATTTTTATCTAAGCAAGCCATCTTCTCTACCGAGTCAACCTTCTTTAGTTCATCACCTTGGGGGT